CACTCAACTTCCATGCACTTTTAAAATTCACCCCCATCACTTTTTCTTTCTTCCATATGCATCCCTTCTTACCTGCACCCTGTCTCTTGTATCTTTACTTAGCATTCACTCGATCACGTATACACATACCCAATCACGCCATTCCCACGTGATTCCAAGTCACTCGGTTTTAAACATTCTTTCCTTGCGCATTTTCATCCACTCAAGATCACCTTGTCTTCAGTCATGCTTGTCCCAAATATACCAGCGCCATACCATTGCAACGTGATACCAGCCACACGCCCAAGTAGTCGTCCATTCATACTTTACAACTAAGTACTACAATGTATGTGGGTATTGCGTCACCACCGACCGACAGACGGTCCCTACAATATTAATTCAAGTTTTATCACATGAATTAACTTTTATTGTAGTTGTTAAAACCATTGCAACTGCACTTTGTTGAAGCTCTGGATTTAATGATGACAAATATTCTTCACTGTTCTTATATACAAACGAAATACTATTATTCTTTTATTAGTATTTAAGTTTTTGAGTAAATATATTACCATAAATGAAATTGTTAAAGTTTCTAAAGATATTAGACAATTATCTACATCGAATATCATAAATCCAAGGCTTATAAATGTTCCATATTTATTTGCGCTCTAGGTTATACTTTGTCTTCTTCTCTATTGTATTTCATTGCTATTTTTGTCTAATAGATGGCTGAATTTGTCGATGTTGGCTTTGTATCCGTGTGTAAAATGAAAACGGTGGCGAAACGATTGACACGAATTGATTTTATGTAGGCAAGCATCGAGAGATTCGTCCCTGAGCCATAAGGAATCTTCTCATTCAAACAGCATGCTAATGTTAGCACAGGATTTCCAGATTGAGAGCTTGTGGCCCCTGGCTACAACAATTATTTTCAGTTAAGGGAGGATTATTCTCAATCCAGGTAGTCGATCGTCGCTCGAGCCCCATCCCTTGCATGCGGCCCCAGTCCACCACGGTACAAGCAGGCCCACTCCTTTACGGTTTAACGGGACCTGTTCGTCACGGAGTCGGTGACGCAGGCACCCTCACCATATCTCACTTTTCAACGTCATCAGGCAATAACGGTCATTGCTGGCGTTGTATCGCATTTTCCATCCCTACAATAGTGAACAACAAAATATTAGAAATAGTATAGCTTTCTTATATATGTAGGTTACAAATCAGGTATTATTTCTAACCGCTTTCCTTCAAAATCAATAATTTTCTCATTTTCAGATGAGAAAGGACTAAAATCAATAGAGTTCGTTGCCTTATTAAATTGATCGTTATTTATTCACCATTACTATTTACTCAGTGAAATAAACCTTCCCTTATTTCATTTTTAATAAAATGATCTATTGAAATGGAAATTTGCAGAAAGATTCGTGATCTGCCAATTATTTATTCACAACGGTTTTACCATGTCACGTAATGTCCCGCATAATAATGAGTTCATAAACAAACATAGTCGTGCAACTTTTAATAATATGTAGCAAATAATTCGTTCGAAGCAATTATTGTAATACTCTGAATGCAAATATGTTTGCGTTTGTCCTCATCAGATGAATCTTAATGATCCAGTTACGAAGTTTCATTAATGCATTGTGCATCTTGTATTTGAAATACTGAAAGTCTCAAAAGACTTTGCAAAGTGCAAGGATGTTCGAATGGCTTGAACACTAAACTTACTTTACTTTCTCGCGAATTCCATCATAAACTGCAACCAGAGTTGAGCAAAACGTGATCTGAGTGCATATTACGATTGACGATTAAAATGTAATTATTAACTCAGTTTCCTTCCTACAATTGTTAATCGCGATAATTACGTCAATTTCAACGATAGATTAGCAACAATTCACTATTACAAAAGTAATTTAGAATTGACAGAATTATTACATTATAATTATCAAATTATGTTTTGCTCAACTCTGGATGCAATGAATGGAAAATGCAAAGAATGCTTCCACATGCTGGTTTTCTTGCGCAAGCGAAATATAGTTCAAAGGTTGGCAGGTAGGAATTACAGTGACACGAAAACCTTAATTACTTCAGTTAATTAATTTAACAACTTATCACTTGTATCCTACTTCTCTGTTTATTTTACTTCTTCAACCAACAATTCTTGCATTTCGTTGAATCATAATATAGTTTATATATTGCATAATAAAAACTATGCAATATCGATGTTCATCACTACAAAATGTTAATCGTATTAATTTTATTCATCTCAAGTTACGTCTTCGTGAAATTTATAATCGAAATAATACTCGATTAAAAAGTTAATACTTTGCAATCTAAAGGTTGCTATACAACAACAATTTTCTTCATTCTCTCTAATTTTCTCATAAAATCTTTCACAACTGGAAGTATAAACTTTCGTTATCTTGGATTATCTATAATACATTTATTACGTATTTTATCTCTACAATTCGAATACAAAAGAAGTTGCAAGTAAATTTACTCGATAAGCTCAGCAATCATTAGTTTCTTAATTCTAATCAAAACACATGTATCTGAACCACAAGAGTAATGTTCAGCGAAAGATTGAAAGAATAATTTAAGTACAAACAAGACACTAAGACTCGAATGGTTGTTGGTTAAATTTCTTTTATTTGAAAACTCGATAAAATCTCCATATCTAGAAGATTTCTTCTCTTTCCTTGAAATTCGAGATATCAAGGTTCGACTATACATTGTGTTACATGATCGGTCTGTATCAGAAACGTTCAACTTGCTGTTTCATTTAGCAAAAAACGAGGTCAGTAATCAAGTTACAATCAGTTATACAAGTGAATGAGAATACGAATTAACGTCCTCATTCACATTCTAATTTCTTATATTTCCCGCTTACGTGGCTCTTGCACTTCTGCGTGTCATCGTGTGCCGACATTTGCTTTCTTACGTCGGAGAAATGCATTTCCTGAAACTTTTAAGACTCAAGTTTTATAATAGAGATAACTGAAGCTGTTATTTTCGAAATTTTACAAACGAGCAATATTTCTTAGCTATCAATATTAATACTGATCAGAATTAATTTAAATTGAATTAATTAATTAAAAATCTGTTGGCTCTTTATTTCACCGCTTGTCTTGTGATTTTTCTATAGATTAAACTTAGAAAAGTTACTTTATTGTTAATAATTTTAATTGTTAGTAAGAAATTATATATTCATTGTAGAAATGATTAAAGATTCATAATTAGAAAACAGAACTTCTTTTTTAACTTGTATGAATTAAATAATATGTATATAGTAACTTATTAAATTTGATTGGAGGTTATCAAATAAAAGAAAATTATTTAAAAAATATTTTATATTCTTCTGTAACATACAATTATATTATTATATTTTTTTCCTAGTTTATAATTATATCATGTTTTATTTCATTTTATTGATCTTTCTCCTATAAGCATTTAGAATTTTCCATTTATTTGATGTGTTGCATTTTATTAGGCATTTGTGCACAATAAAGTCGCTCTCGATTTTCTTACTATAAATAACTAGATAGTAGCAAAGAAAAACATTTAATATTCAATCGTATCAAAGTATTTACTTATATTAATATTTTTGTATAACACTTTAAGACAACGTATAGTAAACTAATTAGTTCAAATCAGTTGAAAATGTAGAATACAGTGTACATACTTAAAAATATATATAATCAAACCATCTACCATCTATTACTTTACAACTGTTCGTTGAATAATGTTTATTATCATCGTTATATTAAATTCTTCATTTAATTTACCCGATCAATACATATGACAAGGTGTAGAATGCGTTTAACTCTCGCTAAAACTACAGAACATTAGTGGAACAGAAATCTCTTTTTCGTTGAAAATGGACGAGTGCCACTTTGAAATGTATACGGCCTACACAATCTCGAATTAACACGAGATAATTTTGAACGCTACATGCAACATTACAAAATATATCTCAACGAAACATTCAGAAACTAATAGAACAGTGGAGAAATGAACTTTTACTATATACCATCGCGCAACATCTATGTAAAGTAAAGAGAAAGGGTCAGTAACGTCATCGATTGATTTTTATATAAAATATAAGTAATTACATCGTTTCCATAATATTATACAAATTGTTCTCTAGTGAAAATGTGTAAATATAAAACTCATTCTAGTCTAATCTGTTGCATTTCTAAATGCAATACATAGTTCCATTAAAACTATTAAAAGTAACAGATATGAAAATGTTCCATTTTCTTTGTTATCCTGCTTTAACTTTTCGACAAATTTGTGACGACTACATTACATGATACAGTACACGTGAAAATAAAAAACTTTACAGTTTCATTCAATCGAAGTGTTTTCTTATTAACACTAGAACTACTGTACCAGTGAAAATGATTGGTTTCGATTTTTTTGTTTCCCAATTATTAATATATTAAAAGCATTGAACATTCGAAATGATCTTGAAAATAAATAATTTATCTTGAATATGCAATGAATGTCTGAAAAAACCTGGAAATAATCTACTGTTACAATTTTTATAGGGATTACATATTACTTGTATTAAATGCTCGATAGATCTCATGCTCATGTCACATTATGCAATAGAGTATTATTCAATCGCCAGAATACAATGGGTGAGTAAATATTTGAAATTTCTGAAAGCTTTATTTGAAACATTTATATGTAATATTTACCTCCATCACATCATTTTCTACTATTATAAATATAACATACTCTCCACCTGACACAAGTATTATCAACAACATAGTAAAATTGTATAAAAATCTGTAACGCTTTAACATTCTAACACACTTTCTGCATAGTGCAACACGGATGTTACATTCAAGTTTTACCATTTAAATGAAAAATCGTTACGCTGGGGATTGTTTTTAGTAAATGTTTTATTTTCACGATAACACGTGGGCGGCGAAATTACAACAATAGGAACTTTCGTAGGCGCGATAACAAAAGCCACGATACTAGGGGTTAAAGGGCGTTTATTCTGTTTGCAGTGGCGAAACTGATGCAAACGCCGAAACGATCGGGACCTAACACGCCCGAGGAGATCGATAGCGGATCCCAGAAAAAGGATCCTAACGCTACAAGTGACGGTTCGTTGATTCCAGACACGATGGACATTTTGGGACACCCTGCGATAGCCTGATTATTAAATTTGCCCGACCAGTTTGAGGGCACACTGTCTCCGGAAACAGTGTTCTGAATATTACAAAGCGGTCTGTCTATCTCTTACACGCAGAGTAAATGTTGTGTAAGATACTTAATAGTTTGGAATCAATTCACTCGAACACCTGTTATTCTATATTTCAGAAATTTTAGTAAAACGTTGACAATAAAACGAACGCATACACGGTGTCCCATTTTAATCTATAAATGCAATTATCTTCGGCACTATTCATTACTTAAAACATGTCACAAGTGGAATTTTTTCTATTTTGATGGATTTTCGATGTAAATAGTAGAAAATTATCTGTTGTATCGTTTGCTGCGAAAAAAATTACATGGTTATGCTAGAAGAAATCGTAATGACATTCTACAAACGTTCATTTATTGTTACAGATAAACTGATAAGTGTACCAAATTATTGTCTCATCGAAAGAGAAAAAAGTTGTATTTGAGGTATTTTTTAAATAACAAATAGTTTCGGAAATCATTGCATTTATAGGTTAAAATAGGACATCCTCTATAAGGGTGTCTCATTTTAATCCGTCTAGGAAATTATCTCCTAAACTATTGACTATGCAAAAAAATATTCCCTATAAAACTTGCTCTGTTTTAATAGAGGCCGGTAATAATTATAGTTATAACCAGATTTGTGTAAGTAGAGGTGTTCATGAGATCTGAAAATGATATTCGTATGTTTTTTTTTTAAATAAAATTACC